CGAGAGCGATGTAGACAAAGCCACCCTTTCTTGCTAATCTCCCTGCCACCCAAAACGTGCCAGCTGCTCATTTAACTGCCAATGAGGCTTTCCAACAGCTGAGCTTCCTTCTTCCCGATGTTCACAAACCACTTGAGCTAGTTAATGCTGATGATATTCAAGCGATTATCAAAGTGCTGCCTAAACAATGTGTCTGACCCCGATGACACTATTAATGAGATGCTGAAGAAATTGCCATTAACAGGGATGCATTATCTGTACCTCCTAGTAAACTATGCAGTGGTCTTTGGCGCCTTTTCGAACCAGTGGAAGGCGGCGATCGTTGTGATGCTTCCTAAGACTTTTAAATCAGAATCAGCAACTAGCAAGTATCGACCCATCAGTCTCCTATCAGCGGTCGGCAAAGTGGGTGAGGTCGTCGACGCTAGGGAGTTTCAGATTCGATTCCGGCAAGGCACTGAACGGGCCAGCAGACCCTCTGCTTAACTGAATGAACCACGCGCGCTTTTAACTTTAAAAGCGCTGTCTACTTTGACGTCGAAAAAGCATTTGATCAAGTTTGGCATGAAGGCCTGCTGCACAAACTGCGCTCATTATTCGTTCCCCATGGCCTTTACAACGCGCTGAAGTAATATCTAAATGACCGCCTCTTCAGCGTGCGCTTGGGGGAGCCACAGTCGCCGTTGTGATCTCTGACAGCAGGGGTCCCTCTGCGCTCCCTTCTTTCGCCCCTTTTAATTGCAATTTATATGAGCGACTTGCCCTTGCCATCAAATCCCACACACGAATCGTCCTCTACACCGATGGTACGACCGTTTACTCATCCTCGAAGCATCCCGCCTTGCTATGCAAGCATCTACAGTCCTATCTTGATGCCCTTGCTGACTGGCGCCATAATTTGGAAGTTTCCATAAATGATATGAAGAGCAAAGCACTTTCAATTACTAAGAAACGTGCCCCCTTGTTGGCGCCCTTTACCTTTGATGGTATGAAGATTCGGTGGTTTCCTCAAGCGAACTACTTGGGAGACATCCTTGACAACAAACTTTCCTGGCAGCCGCACTTGGCCTATCTATTAGCGAAGGTTAGGCAGCAACTATGGCGCTATACCCTTTACTATTCGCCAAGGGTAAGCTTTTTCTGCGAAACAAACGGCAATTGTATATATCTCATATCCAGCCAATAATGACATACTCGTCTGCTGCTTGGACCTAAGACTCCACTGAAATAGCGTCGACACTTCAATTGCGACAGAACAAATTGCTCTGGGAAATGAAGCTCTTCACCGGGACCTGCAATTGAACCCTTTAGACGTCGCCCCTTCCAACGTAATGCCCATGCCCTTTAGGACGGGCTAACCAGGCACACTCATTGCCTGCTAGGGAGTGAACTTATTTACGAGCCATGGCACGGGTAACTTTATCGCCGCCTACCTGACCCTAGTAAGTGCTAGTTTTTGTTTGTTAATGTAAAGAAATAATGCCACCCTTTTCCTATTAAAAGCTATTATATAACGTCTGCGATCACTCCTGGTTGAGAGCTTGAGTATTCGAAGTTTTTTGACTGGTTCGAGCACCAGGAACCGGCATTTATAAATAAATAATCCGTTTAATTGTAAGCAACGCAGCTTAAAAAAGCAGTAAACAAATACCCTTTTATCACAGTTACGGAGCATCTAGATCAATTACTTATTTTATAAGCATAAAATTAATTAAAAGTTTACCCACCGTATTAAAGAAATTATGATTTAAAAAGGCACCGAATATCAAAACAAACCTATTTTTTGGTAGCCTTACGATATTGGCGTAAAGCTAACTTCAAGTCTTAAAGTCGCCCATGGACTCCTCGGTACATGCTCAGTTTTAAACATTTATGCACCATAACACGTTGCATACCCAATCAATCAAAGCTACTTCACTATTTGTCAGAAAATCTTTGCAATGCTATATATGATCAAACAGAAAAACAAAAGGGGAATAGTACATCACCAGATAAATTTTATGGTTTTACAAAAAGATGCATTGAAGCCTACAGACCATTAAGACGCAGAAGTATAGTGTGTGGCGGAATCAATATCCAAATTTAGCGTAAAGTATTTATATACTGAATTTGAGTTCTGGAAAGAAATCTGTTATGAAACTAGATCTTTTAAAAATCGAGGTTTAAAGATAATTTTATTCCTGTTTGGAATAATTATGTAATATAAGATAAGTTAAAAACAGGGTGATACAACGGGAATGCGAGAAATTATTTAATCTTAGAATTACTATAATTTTCGACAGACTATGACTGGAATCACGGGCAGATAGTGGTTCCTAAACCTGAAATGACTTAAGCTCTAGAATACAACTAGTACCCGAAACTTATAAGCGAGTGTGCGATGATTTGCGAGGTTTGAACAAATACTGTGTTGGCACAAGATATACCTTTACAATAACAAGGCAAGGAACAGCCTATATTTTTCTACATTAGGTAACGTTGAAGAGTTTAGCAACGTGACTGCATCAAGAGAGTAGAAGGTACTCTGCTTATACAATGCTCGATTAGCGCAGTGTGTAGTAATTGATGCTACCTAATGGATACGTAAATGCGTTGTTTAAATACTCTAAGGGTGACGGATATCAAAACTGCCGACCTAAAGGACACCTATGCATATGTAGATTATTGCTAGTGTGCTGCGAAAGTAAACTGGGTCACCACACATAATATAATTTATTGACCAGACGCGAATGGTTTAATGGCAATTAGATTGGAGAATTGTAATTCTGTTAAAACTACCTTTTAGTAATAAGAAAGAGAAGTTAGTAAAAAAGGTTCTAGAATGTGTTTAGAAAGAATACAGGCCTTTTAAAGTATGAAGTTCCTGAAAACAAGGAAAAAATTATTTAGTTTACTACAAGTGTTTACTTATTGGGATATGTATATTTCTAATCATGCGATGGTATTGGAGCCCTTTAAGTGAACTAATGAAAAAGAATTTTAAATATTTTGGTGTGAGGAACAGCATTTATGTGTTTACTTGGAGCTCACAGACAATTAGAAGGTTTATTAAAGCTTTTACAAGTGCGCAGTAATGTTATTTTTGGTTTGCGTGGCGTTGCTTTTATTTAGTTTAAACATGCGGCGTGTAAACAAATTGACTCGCCCAAGCTCTCCCTAGGTGCGAGTGTATCGTGCGGTAAACCTATTTTTCTCCCTTCTATTTAACATCCTATTTATAGGCGCTACAATTAACGTTGACTAGGCGCAGGGGGGTGCTGGAATTAACAAATGGAAAAAGTTGTTAAAAATTCTAGAAGCAAGAATATGCGTAGAACAAATGTGGCCAGGCGTGGTCTTAACTCTACGGGGGACGGGGGGGGTTGACAATTGCTTAGAGGAACTATTGCACAATGGACAGAGAAGCGTTACTAAACTATTGGATCTGATTAAATTAAACGGTTATAAATTAGTTATAAATCAGATTTTAAAACCTAACAAGCTTTTAAAGACTATACAGAAAATGACTCTGCCCGAGGTAAAAGATTAAATAGGTGGAGTCCGTTCTCAATTCTGTTTACTTGACCGCGTTTTTTACCGGGGGCTGATATTGAGAAAACAGACTTGCTCCCTAGGATGGAGTTAAGATTATTAAAGAACTTAAGTAGTAAGTTGAAAATTTTGTAGCAATAGTTACTATTGTAAAAAGTGTTACAGAATCTAGTTTATAAAGTGCATTAAATATATTCCATACTAGATAAAAGAAACAATTTTAAAAATTATTAAAAAGGTAGAACCGGTAAATAACACAGTATTAGACAGCTGGGTGGTTTGCTAGGAAATTAGTTCTAAATCTAAAGCGAAAGCCTATGCATATGATCACTCGACCGAAATTACCTTCTTATAGATTCTTGTCAATGGATGTTATAAAGTCATTAGAATTAAAATAGGACAAGATAGAGTTTTGGTAGTTATAGACAAATTATCAAGATATGTATGGTCAAAAAACTAAGTAAGGCTTCTTCCTTTGACGTGTTGGAGTTCTTAAAACAATTTGAATGCAGAAACGAACGCTAATTATATTTAAATAGCAAATATATACATATTAATTACATCAATTAATTGTGGATTTTTCAAGGTTAATGTCTCCGAAGATTATATGTTATGAATAAGCAAAAAAGTATAATTTAGGTTTTATCGGAAATAGAAAAACTAAGAACTTATTTGATTATTTTCGGAGATGTCTGGAGGCACAGCCCCCACCACTTAAAATAAAAAAACAGAAGGAAGAAAATGTGTGCACAGCACTCCTTTTATAGGGCCCATTACTGATGTGCCCCTAAAGCTTAACCCTCACGTTACGTACTTGCGATATGAAAAAGCAATAAACATGAAACAATACCCTAATAGCGATAATATTGGCAAGTAACATGCTTATTTCTACAGCCCACAAAAATAAAATAACCCGTCATATACACGTGCTTAAGGCTTTTAGCTTAGCAAAGGTGAAATGGACACTGTACAACAAATTATGCTTAACTTACATCATAAGAAGCTGAAAGGTACGACTTAATAATAAAGGTTGTGGTTTACGGGCTTGGAGGATCAGCGCCTCTTTTTAACTAAGATCTTACTTGTAGACTTAAAAGTATGGATTTGAGTTAGGCAAAATCGAAGAATGTGCTAACTGCACTGGCTCTATCTGCGTTCAATTCCATACCTAATTGCAATAATGAATTTAGCTATCCTTCGTTTTTATAGCACAGCAAGCTAACAGAAGCCATTTTCATGAGCGCAGACCTAAAATTTGAGATGCTTTTGTCTTACAAAACTTTCAAAGCAGCTCCTATCTCCCTGCGATTTAAGTAGGTACTAATTGATTAAATATCGTAGTGCCTTTGATTAAGATCGCCTAATGGACACAGAAAGATATCAATCAAACCAAGACAACTGTTAAGTTAGTGAGAAGTACATCCTTATCTTTTATAAAGGATAAATGAAGCAGCAGTTTCTACACTGTTTTAAATTTCTTTATTAAGATAATTTGGTAACTGAAAGCGAATTTTAATTAGCCTCGAGAGAATTCTTGTGGCCTCCGGATGAGAGGTTCTGATAGTAAGGCGGTATTTATTGCCTTCGTAGTTTGGTTCCAGCCTTTAAAAAAATTATTGGTATAAAGGATGAAATTAATTGTTGAATGTACCTTAGTAATGCGCTTATTTGAAGTTTCTTACAGAAAACAACACTCGCACCTGAAAAAAAAGAAAAAGGAATATTTTAATATAACAACGCAGCCGCATGTCCCCTTAAAAAACTTACAGAAGATATTGTTTGGATTGATGTCTATATTGTGCAGAACAGAAAACTTCATACTTGTAATTTTAGTTTCAAGATCCTCAGCTTCAATGTTAATAAAGTGTATGAGTTATGCAACTTTGTGCAATGGTATATAATTATTTACCTGTGAAATTAGAGCAAGGGAGAAATATATTAACAGTCTCAGCAGCTGGACTATGAGTATTAATATAATATAATGTCAGGGTATACTAAGATATGTACCCATCTGGTAGTAAATTATAAAAAGAGAAATAGCACCTTTCTAGTTGCAACCATTTTTGCGAGAACAAATTTTTGTTAAATTCTATCGGAGTTCCATACGTGCTTAAAAAAACGGGCAATGTCAATGAAAGTTTTCTGTTCAACTCTTCATGCCTATTTTGATTTGTTTTTGTTTATTAAAATTTTTTAATGTAATATGTAAGAGATAATATATTAACTGGTAAAAAAATTCTATTATAGGGCATTCATTATCAGGAGATGTGCACTCGCATTGGACAATTAACTTTTTGCTGCCACGAGGCTCAAGGTGAACAAATAAGGTTTGCGGGAAGCGCAAAGCAGGCATATTCAGGCGTTCCAGTGGTTGAACTGAAAAATTAAGAAGAGGAAGCATCGTTTTATTTAAGATTCCCAGTGTCACTTGGCAGACTGATCCATTAGTTTGAAGTTCAAAGGATATATGTAGAGTCCTGATATGGGAAGAGTATTAGGCGTATGATCTTTAAGCTTACTATAAGGGACGGGTCGGTTATGTTCTAATAGTAAAAAACCAAAACTAATATTAACCCTCTAGATAAGAAAAAAAAAATACACAATACACATCTTGTTCCCTGCCGCCAAACGATGCAAAAACTTATTTTATAACAAAATTTGGAGGTTATCGAAACCCGTTTTGGTATAAAAGCCCCTTTTCCGAACCCAACAAATGAACTGGAGCATCATTTTCTTCGAAATATTTATCTCCGTTTTTTCCTTGTTAATTACTAATAATATTGAGTAACAGTATTATAAGCTCAATAACAACTTTTCTCATAGGAAAGCCCTCCCTCTCTGAATAGCTCAAAATTACTATCGGGTCCCTGGTAAATAATATTTATAGTAATCAAAATAATATGATGATAGTATTACTTTGAATTCGCTAAGCTCGGGATTACCGCCTTTACTTTTCATCTTAGCTAAGATGCCGGATTCGCGCTCAGGAAAGGTAGGCATTTCCTCAAAAACAGATTGCTTTTATAATATATAAAAATGAAAGAGAGAATTAACGGTAAATAAGGAGTAGTTTGTAAACCGAAGGAAAAGGAACTACAATTACAAAAGTCTCATCAGGAACAAGAGTGGCCAAACTGACGTATTCCACAGCTCTCTGTTGAAGTTCTACATCGCCACTCTTTAGAATACAGTCTTGTTTGAGAATAGAAATCACCTTTTAAAAAAATACTGTTAACTTTAATTTCCAGAGCAAAGCAGTGATACCGTAAGCACCTGCGACTTTAAATGAGGGTAGAGGTTGGCAAACTTAATGTAAGCAGAGACAAGAATCAGACGTGTGGAAATGGAGGATGAATAGTATTTGTGGTGTAACGCATCGAACTGAGCTTCGGCGGACGAGAGCGGATCGTTCACAAGGAGATGCCCATATTCTCCTGAGTTCTCTCCTTTAATAAATAACTCCAAACTTATATGACATAAGTACTATGCCTAGTATGTAGCCTCCCGTCTTGACAAGTACTTCATGACACGTGGGTTTGCAAAGTTCCTTAGTATAAGAGCATTATTTTATGAACAGGAATCGCTTTACAAAAAAAAAGCATTTCATAGTGGAAGCAAGAATATAATACTTATATCAGAAGTATAACCAAATAAAACTGCATTGCAGCGTATCCCTGAACATCTTCTCGATTTGTTACAATCTGAATAGCGCGATGCCAAACTTCATTACCAATAAAATCGCCTCAAGTAAGGGGTCAACAATAAGCGATAATAAATTTAATAATAAATTATACCAGCAACTTTCATTAAGTTCAATATGACATCAAAGTAATACGAATAGCTTGGACAATAAGTTTCTGCTAGTAATGCGATTTTATGGACCTTAAGTAGTATATAATAAAAATAAAATATTCGAGCAAAATTAAGGAATTAGCAATAAAAAATTACAACTTTACAAGAAAGATAGAAAGATTGAATAGTAATAGTAATATTTAAAATAATATATATTGTTACGAGTTCATGACGAATTGCATATTCGGAATCCACTAGGTATTGAAGTAAGGCATTAATTATGAGTTTAAAATGATTTGCATTACACATTCTGCAAGAAGAATTAATAACAAAAAAAAAATACAAGTAAGTAGATAATAACTTGAAAAGAACGTCTGAAGCCTGCCGTCGTATCGATATATCCTTCTCGTAATTTAAGGACTACACAGATAAATTTATTAATAAAATTATAGTGTAAAAATTTACTTCTGTAATTGCTGGTAAGTATCTCAAGAGAAGTTCATGAGCATACGGCAAAACAGAAACAGCACAGAACAACTCGAGAGAGGTGTAGCGGGAATTAGGACTTTTCGATTTCAAAAAACGCCCAAGCGCGTCCGTCGTTGATAAAAGTAATTCGAATTCGCTGGACAAAATATATTATATTTTAGATATAGTAGTTATTTGTACAACATTATATATATATATATATAATTATTAATATATTTGTTAACATCAGTTCGCTTGAATCTTAAGTATTAGGAAACTGATGTAGCAGTTATCTTGCAAGCCACAATGATATTAGAATAACCATTCCAAGTGAATGACGACTCTGACGGCCTCACAAAAAATGGCACTTGACACTTTTGTTTTCGAGTCAGCAACTAAAGTTTCCAAAGTGAATAAAAGTGAAACGTGCAAAGAAAGCGCGAAATACAATGATGGCAGATGATCCGACGAAGGCAAAACAAAAGGGCTTCTCTACTATTCTCAATTTCTATAGTTAATATACACTTGAGCTCATATACCGATACTGTTAACTAAGAGACAGGAATTTGTTCGGGCGTTGTAAGGGCAAAAAACTTAAAGGATCTTAGTATCTATTGCATAACTCTATATCTGGTTTATATAGTTGTTGAGTTAAAGTAAAATAGTATGTATTAAGCAAAACTTTGAGCTTTTTTATTTATAATATAAAAAAAGTTATTTCACTATTTGTCAAATTTATAAATTTTAGTTATAAAGGTGTAACTGGAGTCGGTATTGGCCTGCACCTCGCGGGGGAGTATTAGTTTGTCCCCTGCTCAGCATTACACTACTTGGCTAATTACCAAGACGGCAAAACAAGATATGAAAAAAAAAAGGCAGGCTACAATAAGAAAGAAACAAAATAACATCCGACTCACTCTATAGTAAAGTTTCATTAAACAATAAAAGTTATAATTATAGAGAGAAGGGTTATCAAGTGATACACACATTAGTATAAGCTAAGCTGACCTAGAGGAGGATACAGCCGAATCATTTGAAGAATTTTTATGTTAATATACACAGCCCTGCCGTTTTTTTCGATGTATTTTTTATCGGTGCGCTAATGCATATGTAATAGTGTACGAAAAAAAAAAAAAAGTATAGATGGCAGATATCAAACGGAACCTCCGACAAAATATGTATAAGTTTGGGTAGACAAGCTTTACAGGCATCCGGAAAGTCAATGGCCAAGGTTAATAGCAGGCTAAGCGTGGAACTAAGCAAACCCTACACTCGTAAGTAAATTATAAAGTAATAGTAATGATTCAATACGGCAGTAAATAAAGCTTATCCGCCATGATGACGAGATATACTAAAAATACTTATTAGTTATTAACGAGCCAAATTGGGCTTAGCTCGGTTACTCATATATAAAACCCTATAAAGCGCGTACCAAAGCAAATGATTATATATTTCGAGGGAGCCTCAATATCCTCCTGAAAATAATAATAGTAATAAGGTAACCATGAGTACAGCCAACATTCCCGAAGCCAGTCATATTTTTGTTTTAAATAAATTATTACTCATTTAAGACCTCTTACACCTTAACTTTCTGCATAAATAACCTAGGCCTAGACACCACGTGCTCCTGAAACTTTCATTTTAACAGTTTTCATGACTATTAATCCCCAAAATGTATTGCGCTACACCCAACAATCAACTTGGGTAATAGATAAACTCAACATAAAATTTTCCGCGGTGGCAAAAGAAGTAAAATAACTATGAAAGTGGTGGCCTTCATGCTCCCTGAAATGCTGTCTTAAAGAAAAGCCCTGAATACACCGAGTCTCTGTCTCCTTCAGGTTTGTTGTCTAACAAACTGTTATAAAAAACTGCTCTGGTTGTATGAGGCTTATTAAAGGAAACTTAACACCGTTCCAACTTTAAAGATTACTATTGCTATGCTGTAGAATTTAAAAAAGAGAGATTAACGGTCGCCAACTATATTAAATACAAATTATCCATATATAAATTTAACAAACGTTGTTAAAAGCAGAAAATAGACCAAAAAAACTTAGATCAAAAGACACTAAGGCGTACAAAGAAATTTCAAATAACATCGTCGTTATTTATAACCGGAAAGTAGTAGTTACACTTTATAAAATAAAAGGCAACGCTATAGCGGGTGTAAACTAACTACACGAGTAATTTAATTAAAAACATAATTAGAACATAAAAAAGTACTACTATTTAAAAACTAATGATATTGACTATAATAAACTGTACATTTATATTTGTAATAGTTCAATAACCTTAAAAAGACCTCTTTACTATTTTTTTAAGGGCATATTTCAAACCTTAATTTATAACTCCGCACCAATAAAATTCGATTACAAAAATTATTATAATATTTATCAAAAATAAGTATATGAGTATATAAGCAAATGTTACTGAATATTTGGATAAATATGCACTAATTAAAAAATATAATTACATTAAACTATAGTTTCGCAAGACCAAGGAGCCCGCTAAACTTTATAAATATATATTAATAAGTGAACAAGCTGCCACTACTCTTTCCTTACACTTCAACAGGGTTTGAACTAGCAGCAACGGCTATCAAAGGTGAGTGCTTGCCCATTATAGGTGAATTTATAAGTGGAAGTCATTATACTAATGATGAATTTTCTAAAAGGAAGACCATCTAGTGCGGTGACTGAACCTCTTAAAGAGCATTGAACAATGAAAATAATAGCATATATAGTACTTTTAACAAAAGTTTAGGATACAGTCTTGTGTAGTTATCAAAATAAGTCAAAGCAATAACAAAAATTGTATTGGAGGTGCAAATTAGTGCACATCGGCGAAGACACAGTTAATTCAGTAGATGAAGGATATACGCTGTTTTTTGGGGTAAATCAGGTTAACATAGTAACAAATATATACTAATAGGTTGTACTTAAAAGTTTGTTTCCCAATTTATTTAAAGGAACGAAAAAAAAACGCCCTACGCCTCACGCGATAAAACTTGATTTTGTTAGTCTCCTGACAGCCCCGAAGCAAAAGTGCGTAAAATGCTTTATAAAATTTAAGAGCTGCTGGAAGGGCACTTGGAAATGTCTCCTCCAAGAGCCTTAAATTAATATTTTACCAACGGTTTAAAACGTATGTATATATATATTACAATGGAAATATTTTTTAAAAAAAGTAGCACTAGAAATACCATAATAATTTTAAAATATTTAGTGTTTCCAGTAATAGAGAATACCAAATTAAGACTGCCCAAAGATTTGAATAGATGGGGTATGATGATGCTCACCGGAACAGTAGAGGGATCTCTTCGGTACAAAGAAAGTAAGCACAATGTTGCCTTGCTTCTTAAATAGTCGCTTGATACCAGATTATTTCTAATAAAAAAATAACAAAAAGCATAAAAAAGTGGAAAGAGGTGAAGTCTTTGAGCCCAAATATTAATACTGTAAAAATAAAAATATAAACAGCGCAAGTGTGAAAAACCCGAGAAAAAATTGGTTAACAATGTCTTCAGCAAGTTCTTCAATAAAGTTATTAGCTATACATTTTAGCGCTTTTGTATGTAAGTTTATATTAAACGTTAGATATTTCACGCTTAACATTTACTTGATGAGTGTAAAAAGACGATATACCTAAACAAACCACTTCATTGTCCTCGCTACAGAGGTCTAACCTCAAGGAATGAACTATTAAGCGAAGCATACTTTCATCTCCACAAAGAAGTGATATAAATAAATAAGCAATTTGTTTTTCAAGAAATTTGGAACTGGCTGTCATGTTCACTGCTTCCTAAAAAATAAAAATACCAGGAGAGCTGTAATAGAAGTTTAAATAATTTACTATATGGCCAAAGTTAATGTCATATCCCAAAAGGTAGATATACATAAGTTTACATAAATACTTCATCTTCTGATAGCTATCAGCTTGACGGCCTAAAAGCAATGTTTACTAAAAAAGTGGTAATGTTTTTAAGTTAACCTTAAAATGCGGTAATAAATTTTTGAAAAGTTAAATAAAAAGTAAATATTAAACATTTAGTAAGGACATCGTAAAAAATGTTCAAAAATAGTTAAATAGGATAACCATCAGCAAAAAATTTAAATTTTTTTCTTATTTTCGCAAGTTCTCTGTTAACGCGACGAGATTCACGCTCACTTGTCTTGGCTTAAAAGTTTCTTATAATACGGAAAAAAAGACAAAATAGCAACGACTTACAAATACGTATTTCCGATATAAAATTTATTAATCCCTTCATCGTTGAGTAAAAAAATTTTTTTACAACTTTATGTTATTGTTTTTAAAAATACAAAAATCTTGAGATAATATCATATGAAACGAATTGTAAAAGGTGTTGGTGTTATAGGAGTTTAACTAAAGTACTAAGCACAGAACAAGCCTATGTAATACATCTTGAGGTTAGGAAGACTAGAGACAAAATAAATATAAGGCGCTCTTTTTGCAAATTCTTGGAGAAACAACGCTGGAGTCTACTAAAACTTACTGAAGCAAGCAAAAATAACCTTTAAAGTTTCTACAGTGAGTAAAATTTTCCGGTTTGTACGGTACCAATTCAAAATGAAAAGTTGAAATTTGAGTTTAGTGTTTTGTGTTTGTATTTTTAGATTTTAAGTTTTCTGTACTTTGTTTTTTGTTTTTGAATATCGTTAGTGTATTTCTAACTTAATATATTATATATATTTTTGTGTTCTATATTTCTCTTTTACAGTTTTCTTTATACATTCAACTTGCTCTTTAGCCGTTTTAGCCAAGTAGCAGGTAATATATTTGATTTTATGATCTCAATGTACTGCAACTTAAATAATGAGATTGCATTTATGAAAATAAGGAGCATTTTACTTTGTAGGGATATTCACTTTAAAGTTAAAGGCTATGCGCTAAGGTTTAAGAGAAAAAGTCTATTTGCTAATAAAAAGAATAAGCATAACGTTAAGGTTTTAAAATTTGTTTTTTCTGCAAATTAAAGGGTTTAAGACAACTTTTAAAGTTTCATTTTTTTAAATAATAGTTAATTTGAACTCCAGTTTATTATTATTTAATAAGACCGTAACCTACTTCATTTCGATTACCGGAAACGTTGATAATAAGAAGTTATTAAGTAACCGGTGGGTTTTCCCATACGGCTTTTTTAATTATCGTTCTTCATACTTGCCGCCTACCACCGTTTAAGTATACTAAGTTATAGCTGTATATGTTTTAGTACCAAGTTTAAGGGCCTAAGAAACGAGCAGTGTTTATGTTTTCGGGGCAAACAATATTTTTTATATTTAAAGATGCTCTAATTTTGATGGATGGTGGTCGTTAGTTTAACTTTTAATTTCTCACCTACGCCCAAAGGTATTAAATAAAGTGAATTGTTACCTTTGCCTATATAAGAAAGTGATAATATTTTCTAAAGTATCAAAAAATTTAAAATAAGACACTAATATCCTGCTAAATCGCTCATTTCGTGCTCGAATCCTCTAAGTGTAGGGACTTTCAAGAAGTTATAATAAGCCTTTATTGCGTAAAATGCAGAGGTAATAATTTTATTTATAAATTAGTCCGTTAGTATAGAAGCTAAAGTTTTTTGCAGCTTCCTTAAGGAAAGTTTAGACTGAGGGTACCTCTGTTAATTAATAAATTGAAAAACTTTTTTTTTAATAAGAATTTAAGACTATAATATTATAGCACGCCACCTACTAAGTCCCGGAACTAACTAATTAAACAACTTTTTTGAACAAATTTTGACCCTATATCTTAAAATAGCCTCCTTCAAAAGCAGTACAATGAGCTCAATGTCTTTCTAACTTCTCTACCCCTTTTTTTTTTATAAATTATTAATCCTTTCTAAATAGACTCTGCTGTTTCGGCAAAAACTTCGCTGGACCCAAATCTCTTTCCCTAGAGCTTTTTTTGAGTTCTGCAAAGAGATAATAGTCGCTGGGGGACAGATCGGAGTTTACGGCAGATGCGGAATCTCGTCGATCTTCAGTTCATGCAAACTGCCATCGTAATCATCGACTTGTGACACGTTGCTTTGTCTTGAAGGAAGAGCACTTTTTTTCCCGTCATTTATGGTCGTTTTTACGTAATTTGCTTCTTCACTCGAACCAACATTCGCTACGAATGGCTTTTCCTTTTTCATGGTAGTCAAATACTATAACATCCCAAAACACGAAAAACCATAACCTTCCGGTAGACTTTTGCGTCTTTTGGTTTCCACTCAGCTGACTACCGAGTGCTTACAATTCGCTTAAACAGCTCCAAACAGCTTTTCTAATCAGCACCACGTTTGTCGTTTTTGGTCCACTTAGGAACCGCGGTGCCCACTTCAACCAGAGTTATCTCATGTTTACACGTGCAAAATAGCTCACACGTTTCCATTGATATCTTGCGACGTCAGCTAACTCCTAACCTCACTTTACGATAATCCACAACTATTTTGTATATATTTTCTATGATTCCTGGGATAACCGCCTTCTTAGGCCAGAGCTTTCAGCAATATTTGTGCCCGTTTGGCCTCGCTTATAGTAAATCCCCGACAAATCACTGTTTTCGACGGTGAAAAAGTAACGTCACTAATAACTAGTAGACAAGATGACATCAAACTTTGACGAATGTCGTTTGAAGTTTGATATTAACTGAGCACAATATGGATTTCTTTGGGGGGTGGGGGTGGTTAGTCACGGGACTTTTCAGGGGACGTGACAAGATCACCTTAGTGTTAATTTTAATGTAAACACTTTCTGGTCTTTATAATTATATAAATTATATATAACCAAAAATGTTATACATATAGGTTTTATGAGATTCATTATATATCACACAACTAACTTATATGTATGTAAATTCTTTATAACAAAATTAAAAAGAAATTCTTAAAACCTTCAGCAAGCGAGAGCAATGAGGAACAAACTCGTTGACAAGATAATTTTTATCTTCAACTAAATCCTTTAAGTAAAACATGCTATTACATATTGACAAAAAATTACTATTTAGAGTAAATACAATAGAAAAAGTTTGTAAAATTCTTGCATAAGTTAAAAAAACTTCTTCCAGAATTTCAAAGAAGGGGGGAAGGAGAGCCTTTTATTTAGGGTAATACGCCGTAATAGACTATTGATTTATTGATTTATGTATTATGCACCGAAGAAGAGTGTTCGAGCAAATTTATAGAACAACGAATAAAGGAATCAGCACTTCGGCAAAAATTTGCTGTTGCCGAATGTAATTGAACACTTTTGCTTTCATTTAAAAAATCAGCAGAGCCAATGAAACCTAAAAAGTTGACATGTTGGTATAATAAAGAACGCCAAACACTCCGCTATCTACGAGGGTAAACTAGACATGAGGGGGGTTTCTAGATTACATAATCCTTCCTTATATAACAAATGATAATATATACAAAAAGTAGCAAAAAGGCAGTACTTCTATTTTTTTTACGCCAGCTTCACAATAAACCCCGCTACTTTTTTAGCTATAATAAGTTTGAACATTATATTATCAATTATATGAAATGTGTCAAGTTATGAGATATGCAACCTAACCCATGGGAATGGAAAGTGGTGGTCCTAGAGGCATTAAATAATATTCCTTCAGTGTTCATTAAAACCTGTGAGGCAGCTTGCTTTAGAGAATTGATGATCCCTGCTTGAATGTGTTCGCCAATTATATGATATACATCGATCCCAGCCTTTCCCAGCTATTCATTTTTTATTTGTCACATATATAGTTGAAACCAAACAAAAAAGAAAAAGAAACAAAAGAAAATGCAATCGCCAGCACCATTCATACAGGTTTACAACTATTACTCTCAATCTCACGCCGAAATTATGCTTGCGGCAGATTATTGTAATAAGGCAACAGGCCTTCAACTTTTTTTTAATAGTTATCAATGCTAACCAACTTGGAGTTTTCTTTAACCACGTATACACACTTCGCAACTGAGTCAAGTCCTCCACTTTCCAAAGCAGAGCGCAGAAATAAAAGGGCAAAGTGGCGCATCTCAGAGGAAAGCCAAATAATAAACGCTTTAATATAAAATAACAGTTATACAAATAGTGATAGTAATACGAGCCAGGTACTAAACCTGAACGACATGCTTTCGTGTCGAAGATAGTAAGAAATTCTGAAGTAAAGCTGTATATTGTGCTAAAAAAGGAACAAGATAGCTTCTTAATGTATTCTAAATAAGTTAAATGTAACCAGAAATCAAGGCGTAAAAAAAGGAACAAGAGAACTCACCCTCAATAGTACCACAAGCTTTGAAGTTTTTAAGTTCTTTTCGAAGAGCAATACTCTTTTTTTTTAAATACATCGCTCTTGACTTGTAAGTGAATCAAATAAATAAAATTATTTTAAAAAAATGCCTCCTTAAAAAATATGAAAAAATAGAGGTTTTTGTAAAAAGTTTGTGTTGTCAAAATAAATACTTTTTTTATTTTTCCAAGTCGAATACATAAAAGAGCAAAGCGTCCTGGATTAGCGTGGGTAAGCAAACTATTTTTCATTTCTTTTATTAAGGAGTCCGTAAAATCGTGAAGCCGCTGCTCAAGTCCTTTGCTGAGGTCAACAAAAAACTTGGTTGTTTTTAGTCTGGATGTCGCTATTTCCTTTTGGGCTATATGAAAGAAGTTGAGCAATAAAAGCTAGAAACTTTTTTTAAGTCTTCCACGCAATAACGAAGGGCAAAGTAACCATTATAGTTGATAGCTATTTTGTACATTATACACAAACACAACCCCTTTAATAGTGCGCAGTCATGACAAAAAAAAATTTACTTTTCATTTTATCTTAGTGGTAATACGCATGGACTAGCATATTTATCATAGACCTTTTAAAATGAGATCCACTGCTTCTTCGAACTGGCGATAGGCGATAGCCACGTCAATATCGTCAAGAACCTCCAGTAACCACCAATTCTCTTCGCTTAAACAGAAGCCCTTAAAAGTTACAACACTGTTTTTTTTTCTGGTCCTCCTTGTATCTTTCTTTTATAAATAATAAAGTACGCTGCTTCTCTCTCCTAGGAGGTCAGATTCCGCAGAGCCTTCCTGATCCCCTTTTTCAAGGCATTGCTGCTGGCACTTGTACTCCAAAGCTTGTTTTTCTTTTTCCTCTTGTAATTCTATAAATAATAACAAGTAAAAATGTGAGACCAACGTTATTCCTTGAATTGCTAACTTTTGATTCTTTCCTGCTGTTGCTGAATAAGACGAAGTAGATCCATTTTTTCCAGCAGACTCTTTGCCTGGTAAGTAACCATTATCGGATGCATAAATTTAAAAGAGTTTTGCATTTCTGTTAATGAAGCGAAAAGACATGTCAGCAAGAAAGCATTAGTTATAAAAATATTTTTAACTAACCTTCAGCCCTTTTGTTGTTTTTATTTATATCCACCACTATCACACTGCTTATGTCCCATTTGTACAAGAAAACATATTTCTTACTTTCTTCGCCTTTTGTTTAATACTATGTTAATATTACCAACAACAAGGTTTTTAAATTCTTATTTCCTTACATATTACTTAAAAATCCACAGGTACAAAAGTAATTTTTAGCCTTAAGTTTTATTAAAAAATTAGAAAGGTCAAAGTATATGAGATATGTTTTCTGTAGCAATACTAGTTCAACTTTACAAGTTGTTTAAGTTTAATTTGTTTTAGTATGCAGCGTTTTCGCTAACTTTATTCACATTTTAAAGTTTTAATAATTAGTTTTACGCTTAATTATAAAATTTAGAAAAAGTCTATTAAAAATATTAGTTTCTTTTCCCAATAACTTTAATTTCCATTTTATTCTTTTTTTTTTAATTATTGCTTAAACTTTTAAAAAAAAATTAGTCATTGTGTATGGTTTAGTATGGTACTAAAGAAATTAATTAATTGTTCAATATTTTAAAAAGATTTAATATAAAAAAAGCAAGAATAAGCGTTCGATACCCTTCCTTAAAACTGTTCGTACAATAATCAAAATATCGTTAAACAAGTACACACGGACGTCTCTTATTGCTTGAAAGTAGTCCGGGTCCTATAATACATAATAACGTCAGATTGATAATAAGATGTGCAGAGAAGTCGTTACAATTTCAGTTAAGCTGCACTCATAGAGAAGCTCCCTCTCTCGCACTTTGGACAGATCCTGACAAGCAAATCGTTATTTATTTTTTAAAAATGCACTAAATGACACCAATGTAAGTGAGTTTCATCTACAGCCCATGCGGGTAAAATAAGTTACGATGGCCAAAGTCAGTCAATTTATTGGCAAATTTCAAATATTAACGTGATTCATATATAATCTTAAGTAAATAATTTACCTCGCAGCCTTCAATATTGTTGCGAATTTCGATAAGTTTTTGGTACTTCTCAAATCGTTTTGCTTCGTCTAACTCATCTAATGTATAACAAAAAAAGAGTCATAAATAATCAAAAGAGCAAAACTTTATTCGAGAAATAATATAAATTAACAAAGGACCCAAGTGGAGTGAAGCCAGCTCTCCCACGCTTTTTATAGTAACGGATAACTCGGACAATAATTCTTTATTTTTTTTTAAAAAAAAATTAATAGGCGAGCGAGCAGAAACTATTTAATTTATATAAAAGAATTTATCAAATGGGAAGTTTAAAAAAAAGTATAAACTTTTAAGTCTTGTTTTACGTTAACATATTAATTAAATAAACAAAATCTGTCAGTAATTTTATTTTTTTCTAAAAATTAAAAGTATTTTATTCATTAAATGTTGCTATCAAAATTTATACAATTAACGAGCATTATATTGCTATATATATAAACTGTAAAGTAAAACCTCGAACTTGTACCAAATCGTTCTCAAGATGAGAATTTTCTTTTGAAATTGAAATAAAGCCTCTATAATTTTCCACAACACTCCGCTGAAAATTTTTGGAAACCTTTATAGGATAAATTAACTAATGATTAGCTGGAAACCTAAAATCGCTATGGTGGAATTCGACCTCATCTATTGTTTTTTTAATTGCTTGGTGAACGTCAGTCAACTCTTTTGCTGAGTTTACCTGATTCGCCCTATAATAAGCATCTTTTTTATAACATAAAAAATTGTTACTTATATAATTTGATAAAAAAAAGTTAAGTATAATTCATAAATGCTTTTTGACGTAGATAGAAGTATAGACATAATTTTTAAAATATACGACTGCTAGCTTAGAAGTTATGACAACAAAAATTAACACAAAAAAAGGTCTAAAAAAATTCAATAACTGTTTTATCTTTTAAAAGTGTAAACTAAACCTGAACTAATATCTTTTTATAACCCGAATTTATATAATAAAGTATTAAAGTATATTACAAGCAGTCGGCTCAAAGTTAGTGTCTTCAAACTCTTTAAGGTCCATTGCTAAATACGTATCCAAAAAAGCAGCCCTAGAAAGATAAACGTCTGGCGGTTAACTAAGAAATAAGCGCAAGATTTTATGTTTATTCACATAGATAGTAAAACCTTTTACAAATTTAGCAATTCTGGCTTTATGATGTTTTTTACACCAAATATTATTGAGTTAATCTAAAAAGTTATACTAAAAATTCTTTCGTAGAGGTGTGTATATATGGCTTGTTTGCCGCAAAAAAACAACTCCCATTTTTCCACTATCTCTGATATTGGTGTTGGTAGACTACACCACTAGTTTAAACATGATTCTACAAGAGCTAGAATAGAACAATAACTTAATTTTAAAAGAAAAAAATTGATCACAAACACTCCAAACGAATTATTTTACAAACACAACCATGTATACAGCACTAAACAACTGTACACTAGTAACTTCCTCATACCCTAATCGTAACCAACTCAGAACGACAAATATGGCTACAGCTATACACCACTATACAAGCTTGTCATATACCTACGGTAACACGAACCAAGAATCGGAAAGAATATACATACGTAAACCGAAATTTATGAGACACCTATAATGTAATTTCCATCGAAAATTATCAGTCAAAAAAAACGGTGAATTAATTGAACTAATTTTGGATACCGCTGCTTACCCCTCTTTATATAAATGACTAAAACAACTACAATTCAACCAAGATAAGACATTTTTAATACATATATTACAGAAAATTTAACTTTCCTAAATCAAGGAAGAGCACTATTTCGCTTTTACTTTAAACACAATCTAATAGCTATAGGAACTTGGATGAGGACTATTACATAGTAACAAATCACAAGGATTCAGGGAATCATTGCTAAAATAGCATTACCATATTGACGACTAATAGTAAAATAGATCACACAAAACCACACTCAAAAGAATTACGCATGTCAATACTTTTAAAACACTAAATAAATTGATATTTCGAGTTAAAAAAACATTCGTTATACAGACATTTAATTATAACACACACACACAAGTAATTTAACACATGCTACTATTCACCCTCCAAGAAATGTGAAGTATACATGAAAAGCAAAATGAAGAGGAAGGGTTCAAGTTGATACAGCCCACCTATTTCAATCAAAAATTTGGACAAATAATATACGTAAACAAAGTTGAAAGAACATACCATTAAACGAAGGGACAAACATTAATAATCGGAACGGATTTGCTTCTAAACACGTAACAGTCATTTCTTATAAAACTAGATACGAAAGTAGAGAAAAACTCATTGACTGGGTTAAATATCACAACTACTACATTAGAAACCTAATACCTAACAAGAATACCAAAATAGCATTTATAGAAGAGGTCAAAACAGACAGAAAAAGTGAGTTTATTAATGAGGGATTTAAAATATAATATACAAAACTGGTATACTTCTTAACTCAGTTCCTAGGATTCACCTTTATATATACTGAGCGAAAGAGGTAACAAACCATCTCAATCATAACATGCTTATTTAAACAATCCAAATTCCCTTAAAATACTGGAGCGAGGTCATGGGTGGCTTTTTTTCACTAATAACAAACTGGAAACAACATGGCAGTTCAACACTAAACGAAACTCTACCGTTTATGACACCGAAATCTATAATTATAGAAGCCCCTCGGTTGCAAAGTTTTATTATACGACCAGAGATATAAAAAGAAAAAATAATGATCGAGAATTCATGGGTATATTACTCTTAAAATCTACAGACTTCACTGATGATGTATATTGATACTAATTCTACACACAAACCGAAAATTAAAACAAGGGACAATCAGTTGCTATGAAAACATTATCCATACAACGCAACAACAGCCCGTTGTCAACAAATAATTACAAAAAATACTTCATTAAATGGACAGAATTTAGTAGTAGTACAATGACTTATGTTACCTCTAACACTAACAAATAAAACGCTGAACGAATACACTTAAAAGTGAATAAAAAATAAGAAACGGATCTAATTAGCAATTAGCCCTCCCCACGCCTAAATAAACCCAACACATATACGCCGAAAAGTGAATGAAAAAGAGCTAACTGATACAATAAGCTAACCAAATAGACACCCCTAACACTTTTACAGAAAAAGCATATCAGAAGATGATAAGACAAAAACTTCAAAATAACAAAAAAGCAAATAAAAATTTAAGTTTGCTTACCTAAGCTTATAGAAAAATTAGAGTACAAATTTAGAAAGTTATATTCGTTCCTAATACAAATAAATTAACAATAGCGACTTGAAGGACGATAGCCCGGGCCACGGTACCAAAGAAAAATCCCAAAACAACACAAACAATGAACGCATTGCTAATTTATAAATAATTAACAGCAAAAAAGTAATAATGAAACGACAAAAAGTTACATCAATAATCTAAAATACTATTGGCTCCCCGAACAAATTATCTACCCCTTTTTAAGCACCTTCATAAACAGACAAACAAACACACTTAATAAAAAATTACACTAATGAATACATCTATAATAAGAGACCAACCTCACTTAACTTAAATCATGGAATATGAGAATAGTGAAAATTTAAAGAACAATAATAACAACCCTTATATGCCCTCGAATATTTTTGCGAAGAGAAACAAATTTACACTAACATATTAAACAAAGTAAAAAGAAAAACAACCCAATTAAATTTAATTATTACATTGTTAACAAAAAAAATAAATTTAACTTTAAGTTATCTGTAGATCACCTACCCTTAACCTTCAACAAAGCTAAGGTATCCGGAAATAGTGAACTCTACATACAAGCAGCTATAAACGAATTACCCTCTATACTTAAACACGATGAATCAGCTCTTATCTACATGGTAAACAATGTTAAAAGAAAACCACATATACAAAGAAAAGTTAACAGCGAGGAGGTTTCAAGAAAAGTTAAGGGGTAAACTAACAATAATCATATTCACCCGTACTATTCCATGGACTACTCTCCATACCCAACATTAAACAAATGCCCATTGTGACAGCAGGCATAACCCACTACATTTTTCATACATAGCTACCGAAATTGGTAGTCAATAAACATCAACTACAATAAACAAATTAAGTTTGCTATAGAACTAAAGATGATCTTATACGGACCATAAAACTCTGCTCGGCTAATTCATAGAAATCTTAAATGGACTTTATTAATACGGCACGTGCAAGGAATATTGATAAATGAATTTTTTCATTTTATAAATCTTTAAACTATAATTAGTATTTATATCGACGATTGCATTATTTTAGATGCTCGTAACACTTTTTTTAACGATATAAGTCAGAATTACTGAATAGGAGATGATTGCGGTACAGAAATATCTGAGTAGTTAACATTTAGCGTTCCTAATAAAATCGATTCCAGAAAAGGTATAAAGTACAGCTTCTGTACGTATTAAACTACAGCTACCTGTGGGACATAATGAACGATAGACCCAAATTTAGAAGTCGTTCTGTTCAACTTATATAACAAATCACAGAAATGTAGTACATCAAATACCAGGAGAAAAACACATACTTTAAAATTATTGGTAGTGCTGCTTTTGAAACTTGGCTAAAGTTAGGTTCTATATTGAACTTGAAGAAAATAAGCGACCTAGAATATTCCAAGTACGCCACACTTTTTTTAATGGTGAGAAATTTGTTTTTTCCTTAAGATAAAAGCACTGTTACATATACTTTAAATTACCTACTTAATGTTTTTTTTAATAAGTATATCATTAAGGGGTACAATATGTTATGAAAATATAAATTAAATGTAGTTGATAATGATTATTCACTATACTCTGAAAAGAGCGAATTTAATTGTTTTTTTACCCCTGTTATATTTAGTTGAGCATTGACCGTAGGAGGGCGCAACACTTTTTAAAATTTATAGAGAATAACGTGCTAGCTCTTTCTACCTTTTTTTTAAGTTCACCACTGGTTTAAGCTGCGATCTTGCACTACTTGGGCGGTTTAAAGGCTATTAAACTAATAAATACAGTGTTTTTAAGATTTAACTAACTCTATATTTAAATTCTTTTTAATGTATTACATACTGTATCATTTTACTTTATTAGTTAAAAAAAAGTAGTTTTTGAAGTTTTTACCTGAAAGATCACAAGGACATCCTGCAGTATAGAGGTTTCCATTTATTGCTAATTAGAGCGAAGTTATTTTCGAGAAAATTTTAACAAATTTTTTTTTGTTAAAGTAACTGTGCCCCGTATTTAAAAAGTTTCTTCCTTAAAGGTGCTAATAGCAATCTTCTATATATATTTTAAATCTTTTAAATACCAAATTTACTGTTTTGGTACATTTAACACTTAACGCAATTAACCTAACTACTATATATTTGTTATATCTGATAGTAGAAAAATATATTTGAAGCTTGAAAATATGCCCATAGAAAAAAAAAGTTTTTTGTAAGCAAAGTAGACAAGTTTTTTACCGTGGTTTATAAAACC